CTGTCAGACACGGTTAAATTCCACCGATAAGTCGTTGACCCTGAAGATTCAGTTAAATGACATGTATATAGTCCTTCATCATCTTCCTGAGCATTAGAAATAATCAGTTTGAGGATAGATCTATTGTCAGTCTGTCAGAGGTTAAATTTGAAACAGTCACATTTCCTTTCATTGAATGAAAAAACGAAATCTGCCTTTGCTCCAGTTGATTTGTTTTGTATTTTCTCTTGATGTGTTGCAATAAAAATGACAGAGCCTCCCCTGGACACCTCTTCATCCGTGTGGACGACTTTTTGATCCGCTTAAATCAAAAGAATGAAAAAACAATTAATACATATGCAACAGATACAAAACTTAGCCTTGAGAAAAGCATGCATTGCAAAAAACACAAAAGTTGTACTCTACCTGCAAAGACCCCGTGCATAAATAATAAGGAGAGCAGAGCTGCTTGGTTTGGATGAAAACATGATGACCATAAGCCAGAGAAAAAGACAGACTGACAGTTCATCACCAATAAATATTTCTGTGAAAAGTGGGCGAAGAGGAAGTGGGTTGTTGTTTTGAAGGAAATGATGTGTCACGTCAGCTGTGAACCACAGAGGTCATGGCTAACGTCTTTCAATAGTGTGAGAATGTGAAAAGTTCTCAAAGTTTATGAGATTAAAAAAGTGAAATCATAGCTTTGTTAAATGACCTGGTGCATTTACCAAGAGGAGCAGACAGCTTCTAGAATTATTTAGTGTTTTAATGAGTGAAAGAAATTATGTTTTTTTTTTAAAGGAAACACTTCTGTGACCTAACATTTACAAATGCCCCCCCCCCCTCTCTCTCTCTCTCTCTCTCTCTCTAAAGAGATCCTCAACATGTTTTATTGCTAAAACAAAATCGAGTCAGGCACATGGATCATCATTTTTTCATCAAAATGTGAGTCAGGTCGGGGGTCAATTCAATCAATCAATTTTTATTTGTATAGCTTCACTCATAACAAGTGTTATCTTGAGACACTTTACAAAAAGCAGGTAAAGACCTTACTCATTGTTATGTTACAAAGATCCGGTCTATCCATCATGAGCACTTTAGCAAAGCAGCAAAAGTTACAGTGGTAAGAAAAAACTTCTTATTAAAAGGCAGAAATCTTCAGACCGGATCTCCAGCTCATGATGAAACAGCCTTCACAGGCTAGACTGCGCCGGGCTTGGAAAGGGAAAGGGGGAGAGATGGGATAAGATGCAGGAAGAGGGATAGGGAGCAAGGGGGTCGGGGGTTTTCAACATTTTCTTGATAAAAAAATTCTATTACTATAAAAATAATATTATTGAGAACAAGGTCTTAAGTTTCCAATTTTCAAAAAAATACTGTACTTCAATTTTTTCACTTTCAAAGGCGGCTGCTGAACCTGAATCTGCTGAAAATTTGAGTCAGGTCGTTGCTCAACATTTTTACACCAAAATTTGAGGGGGGGGAGGGGGGGGTAAAATCATTTTGTCATCAAAACAAAAACATCTGACACAAATTGTCATGAAAACACGTCGAGCTGACCTGACTCAAATTTCAGCAGATTCAGATTCAGGTTCCGCAGCAGCCTTTGAAAGTGAAAAAATTTGAAGTCTGGTATTTTTGTTGACAATTGGAAACTTAAGACTTTGTTCTCAATAATATGATTTTAATAGGAAAGTTGTTTTTTCATAAATGTAGATATTTTACAACAAAACCCAGTTTTAACCACTGGAGGAATTATTTAAAATTCTAGAGTAAGTCAATGTAACATGAAAAAAAGACTTTCAAATGCTTTCAATAAGATAAGATAATCCTTTACTCATATCGGAGAAATGTTCAGTGTTACAGCAGCAAAGAGCAAGGATAGCCAACAAAAAGAAACACAAGAAAAACCTATTATCAAATACATTTAACTTTTTTATACACAAAACAAATTAACTATACACACCAACCTGAAAAGATGAAGCTCATGTATCACAAACATGAATTCAATCTGCTAAACTCAAAGTACAACTCCATTGATGTCACTCAAGTAGCACTCGAGAATCAGTTTTGCAGAAGAAGACACCTGAGCATCAGTGACCTCCTGATTATTCTGAACCATCCAGACCGCTCAGGTGGTCTGGGACAGGTCTGCTCTCTGTCCCCAGAGTCAGAACCAAACATGGAGAAGCAGCGTTCAGTTTCTATGCTCCTTATATCTGGAACAAACTCCCAGAAAACTGCAGGTCTGCTGAAACTCTCAGCTCTTTTAAATCCAGGTTGAAGACTCACCTGTTTACAGCTGCCTTTAATTAAACAGCTTTAATAAGATTTTAAACTTTAACTCTGCTCTGTAACTTTTAACTCTTTTTATATTTTTACTTTTTTTAATTTCAATTAATTTCATTTGAATTATTTTTATTTGAACATATTTTCAGATTTAATAATTTCAGTGATTTTTTAAATGTTCTATTTTAATGTTTCTTTTCTTTCCTCTGTCATGATGCTTTTTGATGTCTTGTGTGAATCACTTTGAATTACCTTGTTGTTGAAATGTGTGACATAAATAAACTCACCTTGCCTTAGGTTTGAAGCTGCTTAGAGACCTAGGAGGCCAGAAACTGCAGGAAGCGACCAAAGCTGCAGAGAGAAACAGCCAATGGCTATGGATGAAGATGCAAGACCTCTGCTGGGACCCAAAGTAGCAGTCCAGGTTGACATATAGGGGATGTTTTCTGGGACACCAGAGGGCGCTGTTGAGCCCTCCTGAGACGTCGTCAGCTCAACAACAAAAACACTGAGGAAGGAGAGTGCCCACTTGAAAACCCCTCTGTGTCTACATTCATCAGCAGGGTACTCTCTCTTACTAGGTGCTTGCACATGAAGGTTTTTTTTTTTCTTTTGCTTCTCATCCAAAACATACATGAACACTTTTGATGGTAGTGTTTTGAATTGTTCACATCAGTGTGTATTGTTTTGGTTAAATGAATCAGTTTAGAGAAGAGGGGACATGGTTTTTAGCTTTGTTTCACTTTGTAAGACATTTGTAGAGTTTTCACAAAGTAGTTCACTCTTTTTTTTGTCTCTGAGGTGTTGAGAAATTGGGTGACAGTTTATGGAAATGTGTTTAAAAGTTTGGGGATAACTGCACTTTGAGATAGCCCTGTTGTAATTCAGTTATTTCAGGAGCTGCACGTTCCTTCTCCTTTCGGTCGTGTTTACTAGTTTGCAGCTTCCGGTTTGTTTTTGGTGAGGCTGCTCCTATTGGCTGATAACAGTGGTAACGTCATCGAACGGCACGTTTGGCAGTTGGTGCATTCAGGGTGTCAGGCACATCGGAAAAACGATACCCGAGTTGTAAAATGCACATGAACACCTGCTCAAGTCGGAACAACAACTCGGAAACTCGGAAAAGAAGGAGGTGCTCGTTTTGCCGACTTGACGTCACAATCGTCATCACATAGGCGGCAAAATGTTTTCTTTTTTTAATGTTAACATAGGCTACTTTTTATTAATTCACGTAGGCCTATTGCACATCAACTTTAAATCTATATTTATATATATAAAACTTGTAAGCACCTGGTTTAAAACTGTAAAAATGAATTACATGTGTCACTTGTTTGTCTTTCATTTGAAAGACAGCTCAGTAGGCATCATAGATTGAGTTGAGCCTCTCCATGTACTCGCTCTTCCGCTTGTTATTTGTCCTCCTGTCTGTACCACTTTGCTGTTGAGGGATCTGCATGGGTTTTTTTTTTGGAAAAAAAATAAAACAAAGTTGAGTGTTTTTTAAGCGTGATAAAAAAGAGAAAAGTTGTTTCTTAACAGATGACAGTTCTTCTGACCTCTCCAGCTGACTGCTGCTGAAACTGGTCCTGGACTGGGTTCTGGTCTGCTGTCTTGGCCTTACATTTCCTGCAGAAATTAAAACAGTTGCAATAATGAAAATCCACCTTATTGTACCTTTCTGTTGTTTCAAATGTTTTATTGGTATTATTAGTACACTTTGGATTAGTTTATCTGTTTTAAAGGCACCTCTGAGTTAGTCCACTTATAACTAGTTTGTTACTGTAGGTTTCCACTGAATGAAGCCGTATAGATTGATGCTACAAAAAATCCCCTCTTCTGTAATCCACATCCAAAACATCCACAGGACCATTAGATAAAAGTTTAAGTGTTTACTTTGACAAAAAAATAAACAAAAACAGATACAGAATTATCCAAATGATAAACAAGAGAGAAACAGAGAGAGGTCGAACGTGTGGCTTCACTCTCTGCTAGTCTCAACTAAACCCAATTAACTCCACAAACTCCTCTCTCCCCAGATCCAATGAACTTAAACTGTTTCAATTACAGGTGGCAAAGAACATGTCGTTTTCCACTCACAAGATATGTCAGAATCAGAATCAGAATCAGAATCAGAATCAGAATCAGAATCTGGGTTTATTGCCAAGTACATTTACACATACAAGGAATTGACTTGGTGTATTGGTGCTAAACAATTAACAAGGAAATAAAGCAGAACTAGAAACAACTTAAATAATACAGAATAAGAAGATATTACAATATATAAAATAGTATTTAAAAATGTAAAATATTAAATATAAAAAACACAAAAGGTGTAATGTAGAAGCTGTGCAGTGGACTATGAGAACGTCTTGTGCATTCAAATGATCCATAAACATTTTTAATGTAAATATTGAATCACTGAATTTAGACAAACTATTGCATCCTGACTCCAATTTTAACACGAAGAGCATGAAGTAACACTGCTTTCGATTCCACTGTATGTCTGGCATATTTTGAAATTGAAAATAAAGTTGACTTTGACTTTGACTTGACTTTTTATCTGCAATAACCTGCATGTTTTTTTGTTTTTTTTAAAGATTTATTTTGGGCTTTTCGTGCCTTTAATGCAGAGACAGGACAGTGGATAGAGTCTGAAACCAGAGAGAGAGAGAGGACAGTGGATAGAGTCTGAAACCAGAGAGAGAGAGGACAGTGGATAGAGTCTGAAACCAGAGAGAGAGAGGACAGTGGATAGAGTCTGAAACCAGAGAGAGAGATGACAGTGGATAGAGTCTGAAACCAGAGAGAGAGAGGACAGTGGATAGAGTCTGAAACCAGAGAGAGAGAGGACAGTGGATAGAGTCTGAAACCAGAGAGAGAGAGAGGACAGTGGATAGAGTCTGAAACCAGGGAGAGAGAGGACAGTGGATAGAGTCTGAAACCAGAGAGAGAGAGGCAGTGGATAGAGTCAGAAACCAGAGAGAGAGAGAGGACAGTGGATAGAGTCTGAAACCAGAGAGAGAGAGAGGACAGTGGATAGAGTCTGAAACCAGAGAGAGAGAGAGGACAGTGGATAGAGTCAGAAACCAGGGAGAGAGAGCGGGGAATGACATGCGGAGGGGGGCCACGGGTGGAGGCAAGCCCGGGCCTACCGCTCGAGACGAGAGTCTCAATACATGGGACGCGCGCCCTACCACTGCACCACCAGCACGCCCCGATAACTTGCATGTTTTAAACTAAGATTTACAACATGGCAAGAGACCACAAAGGGGTCAGAGTCAGAGTGATCACATCTGTAACTGAAATGAAGTGACATGTTTAAATGTGTACAGCAGAAAAAGGATGTCTGTGTTTAGAACCACATCAATTAATTCTGAAACAAAGCAGCAGAAAGAAAAAAACTAATTTACTCACAGGCTTAGAAAGAGAACGTTTTACTCACCTACAGAGGCATGTGGCTGAAATGATGCAACACAGTACCACTCCGATCCAGCTGTGAGTATGTATAGGAAATACCCGATGACTTCTCCTCTGTGTAAAATCAGATGTGAATGACTTTATGTTGCAGGTCATCAGAGCTTACACATTCATTATGACTTTTATTTAAGTGAGGAGACCAGCTTTGAGCTCTACTTACCTTCAGGTTTGTCAGACACGGTTAAATTCCACCGATAAGTCGTTGACCCTGAAGATTCAGTTAAATGACATGTATATAGTCCTTCATCATCTTCCTGAGCATTAGAAATAATCAGCTTTGAGGATAGATCTATTGTCAGTCTGTCAGAGGTTAAATTTGAAGCAGTCACATTTCCTTCCATTGAATGAGAAAACGAAATCTGCCTTTGCTCCAGTTGATTTGTTTTGTACTTTTCTCTTGATGTGTTGCAAATAAAAATGACAGAGCCTCCTCTGGACACCTCTTCATCCGTGTGGACGACTTTTTGATCCGCTTAAATCAAAGAATGAAAAAACAATTAATACATATGCAACAGATACAAAACTTAGCCTTGAGAAAAGCATTCCTTTGCAAAAAACACAAAAGTTGTACTCTACCTGCAAAGACCCCGTGCATAAATAATAAGGAGAGCAGAGCTGCTTGGTTTGGATGAAACATGATGACCATAAGCCAGAGAAAAAGACAGACTGACAGTTCATCACCAATAAATATTTCTGTGAAAAGGTGGGGCGAAGAGGAGTGGGTTGTTGTTTTGAAGGAAATGATGTGTCACATCAGCCGTGAAGCACAGAGGACATGGCTAACGTCTTTCAATAGTGTGAGAATGTGAAAAGTTCTCAAAGTTTATGAGATTAAAAAAGTGAATCATAGCTTTGTTAAATGACCTGGTGCATTTACCAAGAGGAGCAGACAGCTTCTAGAATTATTTAGTGTTTTAATGAGTGAAAGAAATTTTTTTTTTTTTTTTAAAGGAAACACTTCTGTGACCTAACATTTACAAATGCCCCCCCCCCCCCCTCTCTCTCTCTCTCTCTCTCTCTCTCTCTCTCTCTCTCTCTTCTCTAAAGAGATCCTCAACATGTTTTATTGCTAAAACAAAATTGAGTCACGCACATGGATCATCATTTTTTCATCAAAATGTGAGTCAGGTCGGGGGTCAATTCAATCGATCAATTTTTATTTGTATAGCTTCAACTCATAACAAGTGTTATCTTGAGACACTTTACAAAAAGCAGGTAAAAGACCTTACTCATTGTTATGTTACAAAGACAAGTTGTACTCTACCTGCAAAGACCGCGTGCATAAATAATAAGGAGAGCAAAGCTGCTTGGTTTGGATGAAACATGATGACCATCAAACAGACTGAGAGTTTATTGTTCAGTGTTGGAGTATAACTGTGAAGGAGAGTCAGAGAAGAGGAAGTGGTTGGCAACTACAGTTACGTTCCTTTTACTCAAACCTTTTGGAACATGGTGTGCGTATAGCTGAACTTTAAAATGGTAACACACGTAGGGTATATTACTTCCACATCATTTTTAGAGTCATATATAACATGGAATATATAGCCTAGTTTATATACATGTGCAGTTATGCATGTCTTTTAAAGTCACACTTATACCATCATCTAAATTCAGTTCTAGAATACACTTCCTCTAAATTACATGAATATGTCATTTCTGGTTTTTCACATTAAAAAAAAATAACTTGAACTATCTAATGTTGCCTGTCATTGTTTAATCTGTGTTTGATGAGTCACTGAGTTAAACAGCAGGGAAAGAAACTCACCAAGATGCCTGATCATTAGAAATACAAATCTGTACCACTCCAACTTTTGAAAACTAAAGACACAAATGTAGTGATGTCATCTGTCCACATAAGGTGTTTATTTACACCATCAAACATTTTATTGTGTTTCAGTGTTGGGATAGAGACCTCCAGTTCAAGTCTACTTAAAGTCTTAATTTGTGATTTTTCACACTTAAATGTAGAAATCAAGTATCTCCTCTGAAAATAACTCTGTGAGTCATGACTGTCTACAATGGGTGTAACACCCGAGTCCCACTGTCTGTGATGTTTTCACAGTTTTAGAGTCCTATCTTCACTTTGTTACATCGCCCGGACGGCCGGCTGACTCCTCCCCTCGTGTATAAAAGTTGTTTAATTGAGGGACTAGAGAAAAGAAGAATAACATACTGTACTCACTGCTTAACTGTGTTTCTAGATCACGCTCATTTCAGGTAAATTTACATGCAGTGTGAAGATACCAGCATAATAAAGATCGCTAGCATTAGCATGCTAACACAACAATGCAGCGCGAGTTGTTTTGGTTTCATGCTGGTGCTCAAGGGACATCTGCTGGATCAAAAAATCACATATAAAGACTTTAATGTCATATATAGGCTGTTTTTGCTTACATGTTTTTACTGATTGGTGGTATATTTGTCTCGTTTTCTTGCTTTTTATTTGCTTTCTTCTTTCTGATTGGTTACTTTATCTTGTTTTTTTTACTCAGGATTATCTTCTTAGTAATGAGCACTGTTGTCACTT